GGAATGGTAGGTCTCCCGGATGAAGAATCAATTTTGATGTACGGGTATACAATACGAAGACGTGAGTATCGGGACATTCCAGTCTGCCCCCTTCGAGAATTGCATCTGCGACCTGGAGAACATGCAAATGTGGTCATCCGATATGGACAGTGTCACCCGCTCCAGGATGTTGTATGGGCAGGACGAGGAGATCAGTGGGTCATCCAAATTGTTTACGGTGCACGATCGTGGGCCGTAGCGATAAAAGTGGTCAACGTTTCGGACCGAGATTGTTGAATCGAGCCTACGACACCCGTTGCACGGATTGCGGAGTATGGGAATATCCCCATAGTTGGACAGTTCGTACGTCCTGGGTTACGAAGGTACATGGAATGGCAAAACAGATTATCCAAGAGAACACACTGTCCGCGAAGGCGAGGGCACGTCAGGAAGCCTATGAACAGATGCTTCGGGATGCAGCTCCGCCTGCAGTTGTGGTTCCCAAGTACAAGTGGCCAACGAAGTTACTAGTGAGGACAAGGGAACCTGAGCGAGGCCAGGTTACGAAGATTGTGGAAAAGTTGCTACCGCAAAGAGACACCGATGGTGTGGAATCAGCTGAGGATGCTACGCTTGGGACATACTCCCCGAACGTGATTGGCTCACTCATGGCTGTCGAAGTTCCGCCTGAACTTGCCACCCTAGATGTCGACACCCAGGATGGCGGAGAAGTTGTCAATTCGGGATCCTGCGGAGAAGTCCCAGACGAGATGCCTCAGAGATCTGAATGCGACGCATTCCAGGATGACCCGAGTGCAGAAGATGAGGATTTCGGGTTACCTTCCTCTGCCGCACCCGGAACACCGCTTGCAAGACTTGATGCAGCGTACGCCAGGTGTATGCGGATGAGTGCTGAGGAACTCGACCTGTAACCGGCGGTTTTCATTCGCGAAGGGAGTGAGCTTATGTCTCAGTTGAAGGATCAGCTGGTTATGTTACCTGAATTGGATGATCTCTCTCCTGAATGTGATATCGAGGCTGCCGACGTTGGGGAACCTGGTGAGGGTACAGATGTTCAGGAAAAGCAGTTAAAGGCCATCCTGACAAAACACCATAAGATCTTCCTAGGTGACGGAAATGCTGCCCCGCCTCCGGCGAGGGGCGCCATCTGTGATTTAGGTGTAGGTGATGCTAGGCCAGTTGCCCAACGAGCCCGATCGGTCGGTCCACACTTGGCGATCAAGGTATACAAATTGTTGAAGAAGCTCTTGGAAGCTACACTTATTGAACACTCTGAATCGCCATGGGCATCCCCAATTGTGATCGTACTCAAGAAGAATGGAGTGGACATTCGAATGTGCATCGACTATCGAGTCGTGAACAGTTTCATTCAAATATCGAATTACTCACTACCACTGATCGACGATCTCATTACTGGTTTCGAGGGAATGATGTGGTTTATGAGTCTAGACATGGCGAGTGGTTTCTGGGCAGTCCGAATGACCGAGAGGGCTAAGCTGATCTCGGCATTTACCTGTCCATTCGGGGACTTCCAATGGGTACGTATGCCATTCGGGTTGAAGAACGCCCCACTAATCTACCAACAGATGATCAATAATTGCCTGTGGGGTTTTGTGCGGCTGTCGCCCGAGGAAGAAGCACTTTCGTGGATCAGGATGTGTTAGACTAACTGAAGTTGGATCCTCAATCACCGAGCGATGAAGTGGACGCAGGGCGTAGTATGACACCACTTGTGGAGCAAACGACGGTTTTCAGGCGGAACATTCCCGCAACATCCCAAATGGGGCCAGTCTTGGGGCGCAGTTCGTATATTGATGACATCGCGCATGGGGCGGCCACGTGGGATCAACTATGCGATGATCTAGATGCGATGCTTTATCGGTTACGGTATTGGAGTATCTCAGTTAGCTTGCCTAAGAGCGAATTCGGGAAGCGTGTCATACCATACCTCTCCCATGAGATTGGTGCGGAAGGGATACGTGCCACCCCGAAGATCATAAAAGGCATTCAGGAGTTACCATTTCCGTCTACCCTGAAAGGGGTTCAGTCATTTCTAGGCAGTCTGAATCATTACCACAAATTCATTGAGGATTACGCTGTGGTAGCCGCTTCACTCTATGAGCTGACCGATGAGCAAGTGCGCTCAGGACGAGACTTGTCTCGGGCGAGGGAATCTTTCGAGATCCTGAAGAAGAAGATTGTGTCTACACCTCTACTCAGACATCCGGATCAACGAAACCTTTTGTGATCATCCCTCATGCGAATCCGTGGGCTGCTTGCGCAGTTCTAGGACAGAAGTATGATGGACTTGTTCAACCTGTTCGTTTCACGGGGCGTGTCCTGAGTGACGCCGAACTCAAGTATCATATTGCTGAGAAGGAAGTCCTTGCTGTAATGCGGGTTCTCCATGTGTTCAAGAACCTGATCGAAGGATGTCCGCTGATACTCTACACCCGACATTCAGTGTCGAAGTGGGTCATCAATTACAAGACCACCGAAGGCCGTCTGGTGTCATGGGGCGTCGCTCTCTCACAGTACGACTTAGAAATTCAGAAGGTCTGTCGAGATGAGGATGGCTTAGCCGCCATTATGGGTGCAGGTATCACTCCCAGGGAGCACTCGGATGAAGTCGCCGAAATACTCATTCCAGCCAAGGGGCGCCAGTCGTGAGTGTCGAAATGCTCTCGGAAGAGTACTCCGGAGTAGTCCTGAGTTTCGATTGTGCGGCTAAACTTCCACAAGGAAGGGCGGTTGCGGATGCATTCTATGGCAGCTACCCGAATGGAAAGTTTTGGATGCTCGAGGTTACACCCTGGATGGAGTCACAGTCAACGACGCGGAATACTTCGGGTTGCTTAAAGGGCTTACAATGGCTTTGGAAAGGGGAATTCAGGACATAGTTGTCGTGGGTGACTCGAGAATTGTGATTCAACAAGTCCAGGGTTTGATTAATTGTAACCAGCCTAATCTACAAAGGAGGTTAGCTGAATGCGAAACCATGAAGAAACGTTTCCAGACGGTCCGATTGGTGCACATGAAGCGTGAGTTCAACCAGGCCGCTGATTACCTGGCATCGAAGACGCTTGTCCAAGGTGAGTCCTGGACTGTTCAGGATGATCTCGAGAAACGACACCTGGAACTAGTGTCTAAGATTCGCGAGCTGTTGGTGAAACCGTCGGAAGGTGCCGACACCCGAGTTCACAGTGGAGATCCCATACAAGACCCTGGTGAAGAAGATAGCAATTCAGGAACGAGACATGGTCCTGGCCCTGAATGTGCCCCTCTATCTTCTGCTGCCCGAGTCATGGCAGTACTCACGAGATCGCGAGCTCAAGAAGTTGATGACGACGAGGTTCCGCCCATTCATGGGACCGCTAGAGTTTCAGGCTGAGCGCTGGAGACGGATCAAGGTGCATCAAGAGAGTGATGAGTATCTAGCAGCGATAAGGGCGTTCCTAAATAACGACCTGGACAGGGTCTAATCCACCCGCCTGAAGAAGATCAGTAAAGTTGCAGATCTGTTTGTTCTGGATGACCGAGGAGTGTTGTACAGACTCCCACACTCTGTTCGTGGAAGACCACGAGACGCCGTGGATAATCTAAGACTGGTAGTCGCGAGTTCACTCCGGGAAGACATGTTGCATCATGCACATGAAGATTTCCAAGGTGGACATCAAGGGATCACTCGGACACATGAGAAGTTACGTACCGAATTCTACTGGCCCGGCATGTATGCGGACGTCCAACATTTTGTGAAAGAATGTGTGGACTGTGCCATGAAAAGGAGCTCCCCCGAATGCTGGGCCTTCGCCAGGAAATATTGAACCACGATATCCTTTCGAAGCAGTTTCTATGG